CTGGGCTGAAGACTGTGACCCTTTCAGCCCTCTGAGCCTCCATTTCCTCATTTTTCAAAGGTCTCCTACTATGGAAGTTCTACAGAAATGCAGAATTTAGAACCAGAATAATTCAGTAATTCAGAGCAAGGGTTTATGGGCCAGGCTACCTGGGCGTGTCATAGCTCTGGTAGCTGTGCGCCTTGGGGAAGTCCCTCCCTCCCTGAGCTTCAGTTCCCTTGCTTATAAATAGGATGATAGCACCTGCTCGGAGCATTGTAAAATGCGGAGCGGTGGGTGGTGAGTGGTGGGTGGTGGGTGGATGGGTAAACGGGTGGATGGGAGAAAGAAGGAATGAGCAAATGCTAAGGCTGCTTGGGTTGTTCTCTAAGGGACTGGCGTCCATCTTTCATCTTTCAGTTTGTTTCTTCACGCATTCATTATTTCTGTCATCAGCATCTTGGCTTCTTGTGAAGATTAAATGCATGAATACATGAGAAGTGCTAAGAACAGTGTCTAGTGCATAGTGAGTGGTGTGTGATACTGTTATTATTCCACAGACATTGCCTGAGGACCTACTACTGCCAGGCCCCAAAGTAGACTGTGGTGTAAATTTGCCTCAAAAGAGGCAGTGACATACAAACAGGCCCTCACCAAGACTGGCCCAGAGAGCCTTGCCCCAGGACTGCACCCTACCCCACTCCCCAGGACCAAGCTGGGATGAGGGAGGCAGTGGGGGTGGGTGGGGAAGTGTCCTGGGGAGCAAGGCCCGAATGAAGGCCTGGGGATGGGCCCTGGCACACTGTAACGCTGCTCCTCATGTCCACCTCCTGCCCAGCCCCTCCTGCTCTTACCGGGGCTGGTGCGGTCGTAGTGGTATGGCTCCGAGATGAAGTGTGGGAGGGTCATGAGCAGGCCCGCCAGGGCCACAAGGATAGCCCCACAGCCGATCAGTCGGGGTCGGTGTACCCTGCTGCCAAAATAGCTCACAAACACAATCAGGGTTGTGTTCCCCACCTGCAGAAGGATGAGGGGACCCATTAGTGTGGAGTAGAACCCAGAGCTGAGGTCTACACCATCCATGCCTCTATTGCCAACCTCAGTGTTCCCATCTGTATAATGGACTAGTAGACTACATAAGAATCAGATTCTGGATCCTCCTAGGAAAGGCCCCACTACCCCATTAGGGGAGAGAAATGAGGGCAGAGTGGACAAGGTTAGAAGTTCAATTCCATTCTGGAACATGGGTTGGATCCCATATTACAGCGATGTCCAACCGGTGTGCCCCAGAATTTTACTCTGAGTGCCATGAAATGAAAAGGTTGGAAATCACTGCCGTATTAGAGTATGAAGGGAGCAGTCAAGGAAAAGGGTTTTGATTTCTGAGATGTCATGAATGAGAGAAACAAATAACGAAAGTCTGAACCCAGATGACTAAGGCTTGGAATCAAAATCCTGGGATATGGGCACGGAGGGGACGAGAGCTTGAGAGTGAAAAGCGGGCTCCTCTGTCAGCCTCTGAGGTGTGTATCCCACTCCACTGCTTCCTGGCTGCTGACCGTGGGTGAGGTCCTCACCCCGAGCCCCAGGCTCCTTGCTGGTGGCATGGGGCAGTATCAGTAGAGCGCTGGGAGGAAGACTGACCCTGAGAGGTGCGGGAGGCAGTTAGACGGACATGAGCAGAGCAAGGACGATGGGCCACGTACAGAAGGTCACCAGGTGGAAAGCCTAGCAAAGGACAATTGCAGGGTGGATTTGGATAAACTGCTTTGTGCGGATTTGGAGATCAGAGAGTCCAGCTGTGCCAGCTGCTCCCCTACCAGAAGTTTGGAGAAGGTCATATGGTTTGGACCCCCTCACCTTTCCTCACTAGAGATAACATCAAGGCCTCAGTTGTATTTCAACTCCAGAACCAGAAAAGTAGCAAAACCAGGCCAGCAACCCCATGGCTGCCCTCAGGACCAGCTGCATTGGATAATACCCCCCCACCCCCCCGCATCCCCCTACTCCTCGGCCCTGGTGCCAACCAATTAGTGGTGACTAGATCCTAGAAGGACACCTGGAAAGCTGCTGAGTATTCTATCGAGATTTCCCCCCAGACCACCCCTAAAATCTCCACCCTTAAAAACAGACTGGAGGACCCAGCCCAGTCTCCCTCCCAGGAGCACTCCCTTACTCTTTCCCTTCCGTTTCCCTCTCCCTCTCCCTCTCCCTCTCCCCCACAGAGAGTTTACCATTAGTTTCCTCACTCCCAAGCTCCAAGGGCTCTTCCTTTATAACTTGTTTCCTACATTTCTTCTAGGATTTACCTTTTCTATCTCTGTGATTTACCAAATAAATGTTCTCTTATAGTTGGAGTCTTGGCTCTGAATTCTTTCCTAGCCAGAACCCAAGCACTGAGCTGAACCCAGGTCTGGTCTGTCCCCAACCGTCTAGCACCTGGTGCCGTTCCCACCACCTTCAGCAGAAGGACAGCCACTCTCCATTGTTTAGATGGGACACGGAGGCCCAGAGACAGTGGCTTGACCAAGGTCCCAGAGCTAGACAATGACTTTCTCTTCCCCACCCCTGAGGTCTGGAGGTGGGGTGTAAGGGACATCTGGGAACGCTGTGGAGCTGGCACAATTTGGTTTGGGAGGAATGTGACACATCACCCAGCGGGGAGAGGATTTTGCAGGAATCTGCCGGGGCTGGGGAGGAAAGAGAGTGACTTCTGGACAGTGGCCTTCTCCAGACATCTGGTGGGGGAGCGGCTGGCACAGCTGGACTCTGATCTCCAAATCCACACAAAGCAGTTTATCTCCTCCTCCCTGACTGTTGGCCCCAGAGGCAGAGGCCCTGGATCCCTGGATAACTCTGAGGACAATACATCCTGCTCTGGTATCAACCTCGCCCCAACCACCCCGAGGTTCCAAAGTTCTGCCTCTGACCTAATGTAACCCTCTCTCACTATGGTTGAAATGACTTCCTCTGATCCCTTCGTGGGACAGGCAATAGCCAGGTGCCTGAAAGGGAAAGAGAGTGAAAGGGAGAGGGGGTGGATATGGGGACAGTGGCTAGCTCTAAAATACCCCCACGAAAGGGCCCCCAAGGGCAGGATTGCCAATACTGTGACTGTACAGGGCCAGGGAGGTCTTCTCATTAGGCCTTGTCCTAACACGTGGCTTGTCCCTTTGTTGGCCAAGACAACACAGGAATCTCTAAGGAGGATTTGGGAGGCAGCTGTGATGGGGTAGCCTGCAGGTACTGGGAGGGGAAGGATGTATATTGGACCAGTGAGAGAGGAGGATGGGGGTTGGTGGGAGTGTGAGTCTACCTCCCATCCACCCCTGTGGCTGGGGCAGGGCCAGTACCTCATTGAAGGCAGCCAGCAGCCCCGAGGTCTGGCTGGAGAGGCCAAAGCGTTTCTCCACCGTTGAGATGGAGCTCTTGAGGTAGCCGGAGATCATGAGCTGTGCCAGCTGCAGCAGACTGTGGCACAGGACGAAGAACTGCCGGAGGGAGGGAGGGGCCGCAGCGATGCAGTGGGCAGAGGGACAGGGAGACAGTGGGGAGATAGAGGCGTGGGGAGACAGAGATGGAGTTGAGGAAAGAGGGAGAGTAAGGCCATGAGAGGACCAAGGAATAGAGATGGGGAAACAGTCAGGGAGACATACACACAGGAGGAGAGAGTAAGGGAGAGTCAAGAACAGGAGAGATGGGGAGAGGGAGAGAGAGAGAGAGAGAGAGTTATTGGAGTAGCCATAGCTTCTCACACAAATGAAAAGCTGTCAGGGTACCTCAGGGGCCTGGGGTCTCAAGTAACCCATTCCATTCCTAGCAGAGTAGGGTCTTCATGGGCCTAGACTGGTGAGAGGCCCCTCTGATCCTCAGAGCTCCTGGAGCTGGACCAGACCACCTCCCTCCCCTTCCTCCTGGAAGCTATCCCAGGTCCTTCTCCAACCCCCACCCACCTTCCCCCAGAGCTCCCCTGGGAGACAGCCTGTACTCACCAAATCCCCAAGCTGCTCACCCCACTCTACCCAGCCCCACCTCAAACATCCCCTCCTGCTTCCTAAAAAAAATGGCAGGATTCCTAAGAGGAAAAAAACCCTAGCCTCAGAGAATTAAAAAATAGAGTTTTTATGCCAAAGCTTAATAACATTCACTCTGTTCTTTTGAGTCTGGTGTCCCTGTGTACAACAAGGGCAATGTTTCTCCCCGCTTCCCTCCCGCCCCCAGTGTTACTGTGAGAACTAAATGAGATCATGTGGAGACAGCACTTGGCACAGGGCCTGGCACCCTGTAGGTACCAGTGGGTGCTTGAATATTGAGGCTGCCTGTGCTGGAAACAGAATTTCCCCTATGCCACACAGGTTCAGGATCCCTGGGGCCCTTCTCTTCCCCTCTAGGGAAATGAAGAGTAGAGAAACTGGTCTCCTATCAGCACAGAGCAGCCCCCTTTTCGTTTCTGGAAGGGGAGAACTTGTGCTGGGCATCTTCCCTGTGCCCCAAACCAAGCTAAGTGCTTTCGTAGATCATCCCTTTGATTCTCACGGCCACCCATTCTACAGATGAGGAAACCGGGGCTCAGGAAGGCAGCAACTTGCTTGGTGTTCACAGCTGGTGAGTGGCAGAGCTTTCTCTGCCAGGTTTGGCTGGCCCTGCCGCCGCCAGGCCCCGAGAAGTACCTTGATGCTGTGGAACACACTTGGCCGCAAGTCCTGAGAGTCTGGGCTGGCTTTGTCTCCAGGTGTGTCTTCTGTGCCCATCATGGCCTTGGTGTCCTTGTCTGGCATCTGGGGCTCCATACCCACTGGCCCTGTGGGACAGGCAGCCAGAGGGTCAGAGTGAAGATGGGATCCCAGAGAATGGCCCTGACCCAGGTAGTCCACGGTATTTCAGGGGTTGGTTAGGATCTGAGAGTCAAAGCGCCTTAGCGCCTTCAGACTCCTGAGTCCCAGGTGCTAGAGGGTGTGTACTCCATGTGCCCACTTTGGCCAGATCCTGACTGGGCCCACCTATTTCACACCTTCGTTCCATTCCTAGCATAAACTTGCCTTCTAGGGAGACGCTGCTCACCACGACACAACCTTCGAGCAGTGGCCCCAGTGGTGGGGACGCACAGTCTCAGCCCGCCTTGGGCCTAAGCAGTGACATACTGGTGCTCCGGGAGACAGAGTCTGTGTCTGGGTGTGTCTGGCTTAGCCTAGGCCCTAGCATCAGATGTCTTGGGCCAGGTGCAGGGGACTGACTTGGTGCATAGTCAGGGCATAAAGACTTATCCTGGGGGGCAGTTTGGAATAAATACCAACACCTCCATAGGAGAGCACCCTGCATGGCATCACAGAGCTAACCAGCCCAATCCCCAAATCATATATCAACCCATGTTGTTGATTGGCACAGAGAGGGCCCTCAGAGGTCATCCTATTTAACA